AGTTTTCTTTTTTTTCTTGGAAAAAAAAAATAACTGAAATCAATTGATGACCTCCCCCCCCACCAATCCCTCCAACGACTGATGGATAACAGATGGTGTGTGTGTGTGTGGGGGGGTTACATTTTTTCAAAATTGTTTTATTTTGCCTTTTTTTTTTTTTTTTTTTTTTTAATGATCAAGTTTTTTTCTGTTATATTTGTCATTGTTCTGTACTCATGAACAATCCCCCCAAGGCATTTTGACTTAGTCCGCTGTTGGCCATGGCAGCCACTTTCCCTGAATGGATTTCCAACCGACCTTTCATTTGTTTTTGTTTTTTTTGTTTTTTTTATCGAGGATCTGAATATGGAGACTCAGAAGAGGCTTCCAGTCGGAGCATGTTTCCTGGCAACTCGCTCCTACCAATATGGCAAAGTAACCATCTTGTGAAGTGGGAGCTGTTTTGTGTGCGCGTGTGCGCGTGCGAGGGGGAAATAGACTCGGGTTGGCAAAAGAAGGAATTTGCGATGGGTTGAGAGATGATGGAAAAGAAAGGCTCGGAAGAAAGCGAAGAGAGTTCATTCGACTCATTCCAAAACATTTCGAGATACATTTCCCTTCAAGATGCTTTGGAGGTTGCGTCTGGAACGAGGAGAACAAATGTTTTCGCCCGTTTTTCCTTTGCACCCCCGCGACTACAAACCGGTGTGCTGGGCGAGAACCCCATTTCCCGACAGATTCTGCCGCATTTGCTTCGTTCGGACGGTGCACAAGGCGATGCGAGAGTTGCATCATGACAACTTGCGACTGCTTCGCCCCGACAACCCGCTTGCTCACATAGCCCCGAGCATCTGACGCTTCCTTGTCGAGAAGAGCATGAAGCTGTGACGGCGCAAGCTCCGACCTGGGTCTGTGTGATTGCCCCGCCCCTCTTTCTTTAATCTTAAGGGGGACCCATTTGGAGGCGTCGACAATATCACACCCATGGCGCAGTTGCGCAGGATTTCTGAAGAATCCTTCCGGGAGTGCATTAAGGCGTGACAGAAAAGGTGGAGAAGGCTGCGTTCGACTCCAGGGCGAATTATATCCAAGAGGAAAACTCGTATATTGAGCTCTATCTTTCGCCAGTCCTGAAACTTTTTGACACCTCATATGTGTGCGCGCACATGGAGCCCCCGGCCCGTTTGTAGGCGGCTGTGATGCGAAGAATGCCCTCATACCCCAACCGGGGCAACTGGGCTGCATAACGTGTTCTGTAGCGAGAGGCTCTTCTTTTGGCTCGAAGGAATGTGAGAACTAAAAAAAAAAAACAAAAACCCTTGGCAGGTGGTGATTGACTACATTGTGTGTGAGCGTCCGTGGCGCCGTTTCGCTCACGTACAAGCACGCAGGAACACTTTGTAACAGTCGGAATGAGGCGGAGATAGAATCGGAAAAGGTAGCGATACAATGACAATCGCCAACAAGTGTTTTTCCATGTGATATAGCGTCGGTTTGTTTTTGAACTCGCGCTCTTTCCTTTTTTTAAAAATTGTTTATCGCGTGAAATAAATGTTGACTATTTAAGGGTCATTGTTGTGCTGTTACCGTGATACGATCAAAATGTAGCTGACGGATGTTCTATGTGGTTATGAATCTCTCGTCCTGGCTTGTGTTTACTGTAGCGGAGAGCGTTATTATCGTCTGTGTTTTCTCTGGTTTTGCACAGTCTTTCTTTCACTGCTGACTTCTGCTTAGTTGACAGCAATAACGGGAATAACTGAACCCCAAGACGCCGCAGTAAACTCACACCCGCTTCTCATCACCAAACCAAATTGTGTGCAAAGACAACGTCACCGAATGCCGTAGTAAAGCCACTGCTGGTCGCAGAAGTCAAATGGAAAAACCTGCCTTGAATTAAAAAAGGGAATTTCTTTGGTCGCTCCAAAAATGCACCAGGCGCTGTTTTGATGCTGAACAAGCCCGCAGGAAAGACGCAAACTGAGGAATAACTGCAGGTGTACTACGACTGGATATGAGGATGTGTTGGCCCAAGACTTCAGTCAATCCATTTTGATTTGCTTTTGATTGACAAAAACGAACTGTTAAAACAAATTATGAGCTTCCACAAGAATGGAAAAATCCCACAGCAGTCTTTTTTTCTTTTTTTTTTTTGAATAGTCCATCACATAATTTTGTGCCGCAAGCAGATTTTCACATCTTGTCAGCTCTTCAAAATTTTTATGTATTCCCTTTACAAAATGTTAGCCCGTTAATTCAAACATGGCCTACGCAGTTTTAAAAAAAATGTTTCACGAAGGCGATAGTTTAAGCCTGGAACACATTTCGTTGCTTTTCTTTTTTTTTTTTTCCCTATCAGAGAATGGTTTTGAAATTGGGAGAATTTGAAACTCGTCGCTGAATGAAATGTTCAATTTTGAAGGTTCCGCTCTCGTCCTTGTAATGTCTCTTGCTGCTAACGCTGTGGGGGGGTATCGGGGATGGCTTTCCAGCAGAGTTAACCGACCGGGACAAACTGAAGGTTAATCACACACACACTTTGACGGCGACTGTGTGTATTGTGCCCGTGTTTTTGCAAGTGTGTTTTAAATAAAATATGCCCACTTGTTGGCCACGCGCCTCTCTCAAAGAGCATCCAGTGGAAAAAGAAAACCCACACAGAACTGTTTGCACATGTTTGTGATCATACACTGCTCTTCCTCAACTGCACAAACACACACATTGAACATTTGACTCTTGCGGTGCCTTGCAGACTTGGAGCGCCTTGATGAAATCTGTGTCACGGGGCATGGCGGAGAAGGCTCCGCATACTGCGGAATGGGAGTGTGCACGGCCACGTTGGTGATTAATTGGGAATTTTGAATTTATTGATTTGAGAATATATCGGTGTGCTGACATATTGCGGTTTTAATGCAGTTACAGTGAAACTCCTCTACAATGAAATGCGGCAAGAAATTTTTCACAACAGGGGGTTTTCACTGTAGCAAATTTGATCTCAGATGTAAACACAACACAC